TCAATCAGCTTGTGACTAATATTGTCCTTCTAACCTCTGATCTCTGTCCAGCCCCCTATGGTGAGTATCTGAGAAAGGTGCTGGTAGCAGAACATGTGCATTCCTGTGTATCTCACTTTCCCTCGGGCCGTACATTTCTTGGCTGGCTTCTGGTGCCACAAAGTCTGTGCATATTTTTGAAAGGAATTGAACCCCACGTGCTCCTCGGTGTATTTTCAAAGCTAGAGCTTTATCTTTTCTCAGGCAAAACTGTGAACCCAGACACCAAAAAAAAAAAAAAAAAAAAGGCATAGAATTAAGACCAAATGTTCCCAGCAGAGCTCTGTCACCATTTACGGAAAAAAAAAAAAAAAAGAAAGAAATGGCATTTCAGTGTGTTCTGTTTTCACACACTCAGTTCTGCCTTCTCTGTAAAACACTGTGAGCCAAGCCAGCATAACCCCTGAGCGTGATATCTTGCAGAGATGCTGCATGCATTTCACTTTAGAGGTCAGGAGGAACAAATGATCCATCCCTTGTTCCAACATAGCTCAAAAAGGCATAGATCCTCCACCCCACTAATATTTACTGGTCAAGTCACCTAGGATGGCAATCAGGCTGAAACTCTTACGTGTAGATATCTACAGAAAGGCTCGTTCTATAGGCACTAGACAGCTAGACCTGTTGCCTCATTTAATATCCATTAACTGGGACTTTCAACACACAACTCATGTAATGGTACCAACAAATAGACATCTGAACATGGATGTTATCATCTGCAAGATAAATCCCAAGATGAAACTATGATTTCTCCTCTTTCTTCATCATGATGAGGAGTGTAGCCGCAGAAAAATCTATGTTCAGATGCACTAGATCTGTAAAGCAAGAGCAGGCTAATAAAGATCACAGATTATTTTCATAGGAAGAGCTGCAACTACGCAACTGGCTCTGCTCTTTGGGACTTTGCAAAACTTCTATCCTTAATTTTTAGATCTTTAGATCAATATCCTGACCTAAACTGAAGTGCAACTTGTTAGCTCCCTGGATTTTCTCAGAAATTTGATAAGGTTGCTAATGAGATGGAAACTGTTCAAAGCAGGCAGGAGGCACCAGGGTTGATGGCACAGACATGGGTTCCATTCTTGGAAGAGATTTCTCATTTTCTGCCAGGTCTGGCCCAATAGGGCCAATTGACTCCTCCATTCCTATTTCTACTCTGTCTCTCTTCTCCTTGCAGGCCATGCTTATCGCCGGTGTGACTTGAACGGGAGCTGGGAGCTGGTCCCAGGAAACAACCGTACCTGGGCAAACTACAGTGAATGTGCCAAGTTCCTCACCAACGAGACGAGGGAAAGGGTAGGCAGTGCATTTGTGTCTGCACCATGAAGCATTGGTCTCATGTGGGGCTAGCCCAAGGAACACTGTCTCATTCTAAGCCCCTGATGAGCTCTAGCTTGCCACCTCCTTTTGGAAACCACATCCAAGCTCGCCAGCGATATACCTTCATATTCACAGGGAATTAACTGAATGGGAAATTGTGCTCAAAGTCTAAAGTCTTCTTCTAGCCTCCATGACCCCATGTTATATAGAGAGCTGGGAGAAATTTGGAAAGAGTTCAGGAGGGCTTAGAAGTTGTTGAAGATTGTGCTTGATACCATAGATACTCCCTCTTCCCCATCAGTAAGCAATTTTGCTATCAAGTTATTTTTAATTATTTCAGAGCCTACACATTTGTTTCTGCTAGGGTATACACAAGCAGAGAGCAAAAACATCTGTCAAGCCAGTAGAAATACTTCTGTAAATATTAAGTACAGAACATCTGGATTGAAAGGTATAAGCTACAGACTCAGAGCTTTTTTGCTGCCTTTTCATTGGAGATAGGTGATGACAAAGACCTCTGTTTATAACACACAAGTTAAATTAACACACAACTGCAGATCTTGAATTAGTTCTGGTGTAATTACGCTCTCAAGGTAAAGACACTAAAGATTTAGAAAAGGAATTAACAAGCCCTTGAAAATGGAGAGGGTTTGGTATGCTTCTGGGAAAAAAAAAAAGAAGTGTCTATCTATATGCTAGATCTATAAGACTTATCTTTACATAAATTTAAATTATTTTCAAAGGAGTAGCTGGCATACAGTGAGGCAGAAAGTTCTTACCTCTCTGTGGGGTTCAAGCCCAGCTGGGTGACTGTAGCACTTCTGAATGTCTCCCAAGTGCATCACTCCTTAATGCAGAAGCAATTCTGCTCTCAACAGAGCCACCTGAGAGGATGTGACTTTCTTAATTCACAGAGAATGATATTTCCACCCACACAAGTTTGTTGTTATATTTGCAATGTATTTAGCAACAACTTCTCATTTCTCAATGGTACTCGGAAGATGCTCTCCTTGAATATTGGGGAATGGTATCAGTGACTGATCTTCTACAGTCATGGTTATTTCCAGATGGCTGGAGACACATATCTAACCACAAACTTTGCAGTGGGGAGTAGGCTTGAAAATGACAAGATGACACACATTCCCATCGGGATTAATGTTCCTAATTTTAAATCTAGCCACAGCATAATTGTTGTTTTTGGGGGTTTCTTTTTTGTTTTCCCCCATTCAATGCTGAAGCAACATTTGAATGAGGTGGTTTAGTGAGGAAAGAGGTTGTTTGGGCACCTGCAGTTACCATCTTCTCAGGGGGCAGACACAGTTACAGGGCTTGGGCACAGTTCCAGCTATTCCAGTGTTATCTCAAGGTGCAAGAAGTTCACTTTTAGAACAAGTACACGGGGTGAAAGAACCCCTTTATTCTGAGAGGTTTCTGGAAGGCTTCTGGAATAGGCCATGGAGTTATTCAGTGTCTTATGCCAAGAGGACTTTCCTAAGTGACATCAGCTTCTTGACCTCTTTTAAGTCTTTTCTGCTGTCCCACCTTCCTATGGTGAGAGTCATCTGCTGAAGATTTCTCCCTCTGAGAAATTCTCATACATTTCCTAGGGGAAAAAAAAAAAAAAAGTGTCTTTCTTTTAAACCTTCCATGTTCCCAGCCGGGACTTGGTCAAGGTAAATCATCAGAGGAAGGGTAACAAGAGGGTTGTCCATTTATTACCAGCACAAGGAAGAAACAGAGACCTTCTGTCCCCCAGTCTGTCAAGGAAGGCTGAAAGCAAAGTCCATTAACCTGGATTTTGTGTGTGTCCATGTGTTTGTGTGTCCACTGAGTGCAGAGGTGGTTAATTCCCGGGTGAACTTGGGCAGTGTTCCTCAGGAGCGGACCACTGGATTAGGTGTCATAGCATAGGAGACTGGATTTCGGTTCTCATCTCTACCTGGAGTTCATCACCCTAATCTTTCTGTAGACATGCCCTAGTCATGTTCTACTACATTTTTTTTTTGCTCTGGCTATACAACGGTGAATGTAATGATACTTAGTTATATGAAAAACAAATCCATATTTGATTAGTTTAAATGGGCTACTTGGTATTGCTTAAGCAATGACTGCCCAATGCAAAGAACACTAGAAAAACAAAACAAAACAAACAGTAGTTTCCGCCAACCTTGGAACAGTGTATTTTGACAATCAAATGCTTTTCAGCATCATGTATTATTAATTATTATCATTATTATTAACAGCCTTGCATTTGCACAAGGTTGTTTCTCCTTCTCCATCCTCCCCATGTAGGCTGATGCTGCATGCTGCCACGCAGTCATCTTGCTTTACTGTGGAGAAGTGGCTGCATTTTGGTGACAAGGGACAGAGCAAATGCACATCCACTGCGGGTCCCTTGGGCTGTGCGGCATGAAAAGCAGTGCAGAAAAAAAAGAGAAGAGGAATGAACTTATTTCTCTCAGTTGGGTGACAACTTTCAAAGATCAAGACCTCTTGTCTTTTGCACCCACGAGTGGCTCTGAAGTACTAATATTAATAAACCTCCCTTTGATATTTCTTTTCTCTAAGTAAATATGTCAAGAGATGTCAGAATCAGGGGATTTGGCAAGATAGACTAGTCATCTTTAGAGAGAGAGATTGTTTTCTGTTATTATTTCCCCCCCTGGAGAACAACATCTTTGCGTCACCAACAGCAGCTGCATTTAACCAACATTTTGAACAGAGGTTGTGGGCTGATTCTGAGTAAGACAGTGTCTTAACGGATGTAACCAGAGAAACTTCTCAGAAAGTGCATTAGAAAAATATTAAATGCATTAGAAAATATTAAACAAAAAAGTTTGTCTGTGATTTTATACGTATATATATATACATATATATATATGTATATCCCTATATTGCTATCTCTACAGATAGGCCTATGTCTATAAATAGCTATATTTATGCATACAGATACACACGCTTTAATAAACACCCACGTGGATGCACGCACACCCACATATATATGCTCATGTGTGTTTGCTTGGGTGTGCAGTCTTCTCCTTTTAGCCACCATGGGATAATTATAAGATTGACCAAAACAGCGCACAGATGGCCCCAGAGAAAGTCTGTGTCTTTCGCTACCTTTTCCTGAAGCATATAAATAGGATTATTTCATGCGGAGAAGTAAGGAAACTGCTTTTTGAAATCAGCAAAGTATGCTGAAACCATCAGAGCTGGGAGAATTAACAGCTCATAACTGCACAGTCAGCAATTGCTTTTAGGCCGTTTTCTAAAGGAAAAATTAGTCCTGCTGTAGGATGCTGGATTGACACCTCTGAAGACTGATGTTCCCTCTTTAGCCAGGGAAGCAGGAAAATGGTAGCAACTCTCAGACCGTGTTTCCCTAAATACCTTGCAGGCATAGCATTAATCCCACCATGAACAGCCATCTCCTGGACACAGCAGGTCCAGAGAGGGCAACCAGTTAGTAGAAGGGAAGGAGGAGTTTCATGGAAAGTTGTCTATGAAACTTCCACCAAAGAGAAGATATATATATGCATTTGGGACTGAAAAAAACCACCACACCATTGGCTGCTTCCATGAATTCTCGTATTCTGCTTTTAAGAGACATGGGTGCAACAGAGACTACAGAAAGGTTCCTTCTCGCACTCCTTCCCCAGGAGACTTGCATGGGCAGCCCCCATCTCCAGCTGTGCTCTGGTTGTCCCAGAAAGTCTCCCATCCTCTAAGCAGATTGACTGAGGGACCTGTGGCTTCCCATCCCTGACCAGGTAGCCCTATTTTGTTAATTTTCCATCCAGCATTTAGCAAGAAGGGAGGACAAGAGAAGGAAGGGGAATAGATTGGCCAGTGTTCATCCTTGAAGGCAGGCAGTGTGGTTAAAGACCAGCTCTCTGTATGTCTGCTGCATGTGTTAAGCCACTGAGCCACAGGCTTGATGACAGGAGAGTGTATTCAGCACCACCATGTATCTACTAGATGATGCATGGATAGTTGTATATATATATATGTATATGTACACATTTCTGTATACATCACTGTATATTTGTCCTGTTCCTACACTGTTCCTTATGCACGAGTTTTTGGACATGTAAAAGATAGGGCAGAGGGCTGAAGGGACCTTGAGTCTCACCGATATTGGCCTTTCTCCTTGCAACTTTCTTAAGTACCCTTAGGCATAGGAAGCAATGTGGCATGTCTCTGGAGCTCCTCAGTCTTTGGATAAGACATGGCACTTATAGGCAGTCTTAATTTGGTCCTAGCATTAGCAGGCAGCTTTTTAGGCAATTTCTCTCCATCAAGTGCAGTAGGACTTTGACTTTTGTGTCTTTTTTGTTTCACACAGCCAGCAGCACCTTCAGCCTTGTCATTTTTCTATTCACCCTTTCAGAAGTTGGCAGATGTAATGGTATATTTTGTTCAGCAACCAGAAGTTTCCTTTATTCCCATTGCCCCCAAAACAGCCCAAATGCCAAGCATATCCTGCTTGAAAGCAGGACAAACCCATCCTGTTTTCAAGGACGAGCTTAAGGGTAAATGTGACCTACATCTACTGAAGTCAATGGGAAGAGGAATAGGAGCCAGCAACTTGGGAGGTTAGCCCAGCTTGGAAACCACCAGCCTAGTGAGTTAGACCATCCAAAGATCTAACCTCAGCCCACCAATCCCATCTTCATCCGCTACTGTTTGTTTATATCATGGTGGTTTTACTGCCCCCAAAGAAATCAGAGAGGCCTCAGGAACCCATCCCATACCAAACACAATGGGAAAGGCACAGCATGTCCCAGGGTTGCTTTATCTAAACTCCATTGTTCAGACCAAAGATCTTGTGTGCCTGGACTTTGTTCTTAGAGCTCTCTGGGGTCCTCTTAAAAACCAACAACTTTTCATAGCCTCAGACTTGTTGCATAAAACATGTTTACACAGAGTATGCTGCATGATGCAGATGAAATGCCATCGGAGTGTTGTGCATTTGCAACTTGAAACAGCAGCAGATGTTTTAATATACGTGCCGGAATAAAAATTGCTTCATCAAGACGTGTTCTTCGTTCTTGAAAGCAGCTTCGTCATGCAGTTCTCATCTCGGGCCTACAACGTCTAGAACCTTCCCGTAATCATCTTTTATCAAGGTGCTGCTGATAATAGTTTACGCGTAGAGTCTTCTGAGAAGGTCTGATGCTTATTAACCATGAGAATGCAAGAATGGCTAGGCAAGAATAAGAGCTACCACCTTGTACCCCATCTTTAACCACTTTAATCTGGCTCAAGGCCTCCTTAAGTGAACAGAGTTGTGCAGCAAAAAAGCAGCTACGTAGCAAAAGAACAACCCAACAGCGCTCAGTGCTGAATGGTTTGGAAGATTAACCTTTGTAAATCAGCAACTGTTTTGTGCCTTTCAAAAACAACCCTTCTCCCTGCTATTAAGCGTTTTTAGTGACATCTTTCATTAAAAGAAAAGAAAAGTAGTGACTAGAGCTAGTGCCAGAGGCTTTCTGGCTTTGCTTATCTTTCAGAGCAGCAAAATGCTGCCCCTGCTCATTTCAAACATGTCATTAGCAACATCTGAATCAGCAGCTTCCAGAAACTCTGCAGATACTTGATCTAGAAGGCCTTTCATACACTGCTATCACCATGCACTGCTAACCTTACCCATCGGCATTGCCTGCCAACCCCTCAGAAGACCAATGGATCCATTTCAGTTTCATGATGCAATTGTTGGAGACTTTTGCCATTGTAATGCCACAGGCAGAGTTGTGTCTCCATCCTTGGAGCTCTTCCCCCCCATACGTCTCCAGATCCAAAACCAGGACCAAAATGTTTGCGTACTCCCAGAGTCTGGGGGTTAAAATATTTTGGAATGAGGCAGGAGAGAGCATGAGATATTTGCATTTTTCTGTGGATTAAATGTTTAAATGGAGCATCCAGTAAAATGGCCCCATGTTGAGATCCCTTTTCCACTTGTTAAAAAGTTAGTTTCTGGGTATGTTGGACCAGGGATGATCTGATTGACCTTCTGGAGCATTCTCATCAGACATGCAAGGCCTCTTAAGTAGGGTGTGAGACTCCCGTATATCCCCTGTGGCCTGGGTGCACCTAATGGTCTCCTCTTGACCATCCTTGTGAGTAGAAGGAAGGCCTGGTAACAAGGATGTGACACTATGAAGGGAACTGGGATCAGAGCAGCTCTGGTGGGAGGCCAGCTCCAAGCCACCGCTTTTCACCAGTCCTACAAGCACGTCGTAACGATACTCAGAATGGGGTTTGCTTCCAGATATCTGGAAAACAAATGTCTCAGTCTGTGACAGTCATCCCCATCTTCTCTTTGGCACTGGAAAGAAGCAGACATCTTCACAGCATGATTTATCTCAGTCCAAGAGAAGCATCCAGAAGAGTTACATCCTGACTGCCTTCCAGTCAAGGGAATCAAGCAGACGAGCTTGGAACTAGGCATCTGTGTGTTAGATAAAAACACAGATTAAGACTCACAAAGACAGAAGTCCTCAAGGCCACATCCTATCACCTAAATGTAGGTTGTATTTATGCTCAGAGCTCTCTGAGATGTCTGAGGGTATAACTTCAGAGAAAAAAATCATGCATCCATCAGCAGGTGTTCGTGGTGGGGTTATAACAAACATCAGGTAGAGGTTCTTCTGTAGCAGATGGTCTGGTGGGCAATGCAGTGTCCTGGTACTCCAGAGGCCAGGTCATGCCTATGCTTCAGCCATATATGACCTGTGCAGTTTTCTATGAATTATTTAAACTGCCCTCTAACTCATCTCCGAAAAAGGGCTTCTTAGGCCATGGAGGTGGTTGTTTCAGCTGGCAGAGGACTTAATGTTTTGTTACCTGGAGGACCTTTCCTGATTCAGCACTGTGGTTTCCACAGGCCTGGGACCTCCCCTGGACTAGGAGATGTGTGAGATCTGGAATTGCCCTTCGAGTCTTTTTTCCCCTTGGTAATTCCAAATCTTACGATCCCCAAGTACAAACACCACTGGGAACCAGCAAGTGTGAGGTGCCCTTTCAAAGGCCGCCTCATGCCGCTGCTTGGGGATCCTCATCCTTTGGCTCCTGAGGGTTTCCCCGAGGACCTTTACACCCCATCCAAGAAAACACCTTCCCGGAGGAGTCTCCATTGAAGGATTTGCAGCACCTCTATTTGCAAGTCGGCACACCAGCGTGCATGCATGCATGTGTGTATGTGTATGTCTTGGCAGTTCTGACTCAATATCCTTTCAAAAAGGGGCCCTGCGGTTAATCAGAGGAATTAACCACAGCCTCCTAAAATGTCCTGCCAGCCAATCAGCAGGCTCTTCCCAAGACCGTTGCTGCTACAATGGTGTCGTTGTCTAATAGGAACGTGGATCTTTCCGGTTAAAATTCTGAATGGGACTCAGGAATGCTTTTGTTCATCTTGGCATAGTAATGCTTCAGAATTGACGATTTATCAAGAATCCCAAGTGTGGAGTAGTTTTTTTGTTGTTGCTGCTTTTATTTTCATTTATATATATACATAACTTTTGCCATGGAGGCAAATGTTTTTCAATTCAAAGAGGATCCCAACTTGGCTGTGAAAAAGCTGCACTGGGCCTTGAAGGGAATAGATTTTTTTTTTCTTTATTTTCCCCTAAAGCTCTGCAATCTGCTCACATCGGCTCTTCAGTGCCTACTTCCCCCACAGATATACATACATACATATATATATATATGTATATATATATAAATACACACACTAGATTAATATTGGCGAGCACACCACTCTACCAAAGAAAACCGCAAGGAAACATTCACATATCTGGGGATTCTGATGTAATAGGGCTGAGGTTTTGCATTCCAGAACGGCATTTCTAGCCTCAAATCAAAATCAGAACTGTCATTCAGAGCCCAGCGTTACTAATGTTATTGAAACTCAGCGGGTGGGGAGAGGAAAACAGGAGGAGGAGGGAAGGAGGAGAAAGATGCTGAATTGGTTGGTTTCTGCAGAGTTTATTTCTAAAATCAGATGATGAAAGGCATACAAGCTGGAATGATGGCAGATGTTTTAACCCTTTTTGAGCAAATATTTGGTAAACCCTGAATTAAGCCCCATTCCCCCGGCTCCAGGATAAAGAAAAGCATCTCAATATTTAAAGGAAGTCTCAGAGTTTCTAACCCAAGCTTATAAAATGTAGAGGGCCAAGAGAACCAAGACCTTTTGTGGGATTAATGACTAAGTGCTCTCTGGTGACAGGACCTTTTCCAATGGGACTTTGGCAAGCTAAAGTTGTGTCTGGATCAAATAAACACAGTCACAGGGTACTTTTGATTTTAAAAAAGGAAAATAAAAATAGGTGATTTCTTCACACATCCCTTAGCCAAAATATGTTGTCCCCATGTTTTTTTATGGTGGGTTGGCACTCCCCAGTCTAGACATCAGTCAAGCAATAGTATGGCATAATCTAACTGCCAAATTGTACAGTCACAGCAAAAATCCCAGGTCAGTGGGCATTTTGCTTGAGCAAAAACTGCTGAATGATTGGCTGAGAGTTTGTAAAGCGCTTTGGGTTCCTTTGGGATGAAAAATGCTGCAAAACTCAGGGGCTATGGGATTTACCCAACTCCTATTCCCTTGCAAAAGTTCCAGGTCCCCTAGGTCGTTAAGAAAGAGGAATGCCACTTTCCAGGCTGTTTTTATGTTGAAGAGATGACATTTGGTGTGATAACTTAAGGGTTCCTGGGCCCAGAGCTTTACATCCCCGTAGAAAGGAAAGCCCCAATCAATATGCTGCTGCCGTGGTTGTGCGACGATGCCGTAGGATGCGTTCTAATGTGGCGCTATTTTTTCCATCGTTTGTACTGCAGGAGGTCTTTGATCGCCTCTATTTGATTTATACTGTTGGATACTCCATCTCCCTGGGATCCCTCACAGTTGCTGTCCTTATCCTGGGATACTTCAGGTAGGCGGCTCTGTTTTTACCTAAGCGAGTAGTCGCTGGAACGGAAAAGCCTTGGGCTTTCCTAAAGGATGGAACTGGGGTGGCATGTGCTTCTTCAGCAAACCACAAAGGATGGCATTTGTGCTTTGGGCTGTGTTAGTGCCACTTAGAAGTCCTTGGGTGATGATGGGGGGGAATGTTTGAACTTCTGCCCCACAGTGGCAATGGAGTTTTCTAGAACCTCTGTATAGTGAATGGAAAGAGAGGTGGGGGGGAATGTTTGAACTTCTGCCCCAATGGAGTTTTCTAGAATTTCTGTATAGTGAATGGAGAGAGAGGCACCTCCCAAAATTTGTGTCACCTTCTTCTATTCAGATTTTTCTGTCCCTCCTGTTGTTCTACTCTAACCCTGAATAATCGTGGAGGAGCAAGGAGCCAAAGTGCTGGAATGACTCCTCCGATCTCCCCATGCTCTTTCTGCAACCTCAGGAGTCAGAAGTCACCGCTGGCCCTCCTTACTCAAGGGTTTCCTGCCCTCTTTCTCCACCACCCCTCCAAGGCATGTGGGCCCCTAAATGCCGTTATGAACCTGCATTATCCATCCCACATCCCTGGCTGTCACACCTCCCTGCTGCAGTGTGACTGCAGGAGGGGATGGCATCGTTCTCTGTTAGACGTTTGGGGAACCACCATGATAGAGCAGGGCATTAACCCCAGGTCTCCAGAGTCCAGCGCGATAATCCCTTCAGATGCAAGAAGCCACATTTCCTAGCAAACAGCAGGACCCAGACAACAGCTGTGGAGATAAATTCTCCATGCAGCAAAGAGCCACGTGGTGTCTGCAAATGAGCTCAGCAGCTCCCACCATGCACGCTCAGGCTAAGCCCCAGACACATACCACTGGGAATAAAATGTGTAGCCGCTGGTGCTATAAAAGCTCTCAGTCCTCTCTGTGTCAAGCAGAAGGAGGCCGGGTTGGTTATCATAGCTAGCAGGGCATCTCAGCCCCTGGACCTGTGACATGTATGTGGCCGAGCTCCAGAACGTGCAGGTACAACTCCATGTGCCTCACTTATTCTTCACCGAAAATAAAAAGGCTTCAGAAAGAGTTCTGTCCATTTTTGGGGGGAGACCTGCTCTTTCTTCGTGTAGTCAGAGCACATTGCAAAAACCGCAGAGCCTGGTCCAGACCTCGTTCCAGGTAATGCACGAGCCAGAGATTCACTGACTGCGTTTCACGTGCAGGGAACGAAGCCCATCTTGATTTATACCTCAGTGGCTCCATTTGGAACAGTTTGTACTGCAATAGAACAGGAAACAACTATTATTACCGTGACAAGCTCATCCAAAGAAGCCAAAAAAAGCATGTTTCTCTTTTGTGCATGTGTTTTTATCTCCATTATTGGAGCTAGTGATTTTAAAGGGTGTAAATCCAAGAACTGGCTCATTTTTTGGTTCATGCTTGGGTAACCAGATTGCAGAGTCACAGCAGAAGCGAGCAGAAAGGGACCCTGGCAGGCCAGTTAATTCCTTCTCTCCAAAGGCAAATGGATCACTGTTCCTAAATCACACCTCGTAGATGTGGGTGTAGTTCATACACGTTACCATCCATCTTTTCCCCAAAAAGGATCTTAAAGCGCTTTACAATCGTCATTGGTGGGGTCATATCACCTGCAACGCAGCTATTGCTGGGGTGAAGGCCAGCGGGTGCTCAGTATGAGCAAGCAGGGGATATTATCTGATGGAAAAGAGATAAAACAGCCCAGCATGCTGCAATTGCCAGCCCCAGCCTGAAATCTGCAGAGGGTACAAAGGCAAGCCATTTATCATACCCGAAGCAGTGAGTTTTTTGGAGGCCACCAGTTCTCTAGGCTGTATAGTTGGATTCCTCTGCCCAAAGTGCGAAGAAGTGTGTAGTTCTGTCTCTGCAAGCGGGATGTGTTTGTCACTGGGGAGATGCTCGCCCTACATGCAATGCTCACAAGCATGTGCACGGGTGATGGTGGCTCACCACACATGCACGTCAGACCACACGTGTGTTCCTCATGTGTGCACTGCATGCTCACTGCTCACCCCGGGGCAGGCATTAATTCACTTGCCAATCTCACGGGCTTCCTCTCCGCACGGCTTCCTCATGGTGACAGTGTCCCCGAGAGAAGCTGGGGCTCCTAGGGGCCAGAGGTGACCCTGAATCTGTCCCACAGGCAGTCTCATCCTTTCCAATCTTTGTCCCTTCCAGGCGTTTGCACTGCACTAGAAACTACATCCACATGCACCTCTTTGTTTCCTTCATGCTGAGAGCTATGAGCATCTTTGTGAAGGACGCGGTCTTGTACTCCGGATCAGCGCTGGAGGAGATGGAGCGGATCTCAGAAGAAGACCTGAAGTCCATTACGGAAGCACCTCCAGCAGACAAGTCGCAATTTGTGAGTATGGCCAGAGCTCTCCATCCCTCCAGGGCTCTTCTGTCCATCCCTTCGGTCCATCATTTTACTTCTTTGGTGGGTACTTTCTGCCCTATGGAGGGACTCCAACACTCTGCCCCTTTCTTTGCCCTCCTCTACTTCTACCCATCCCTTCCCAGTCCCCCTCAATTCACTGGCCCAGAGGAAATGCACAGGAAGAATCTTTCCCTGCAGCAATCAAAGGCAAAGACACGGTTGAGGTTTTGGATTGCACCTATAGCTGGCATTTTAAACAACTCTTCTGGTGCTCCATAAAGCTGGTGGCTCTGCAAACACTACTGGTTATCCCTGTGCAAGGCACATCAGTGCTCGCATTTCACAAGTTGTACTTTTCCCACCTCAGTGTGTAATTGTCGTTTTTTCCAACTCGAATTCCTCTCCGAATGAACCATGGAGGTGTTACTGTGCTACAACATCAGTGCCATCAGACTGCTGCTCCAGACACAGCAAAGCCTTGGCTTGCCATTGCTTGGAAGACACTTGGTCCTGGCTCCAGAGCTGGAGCAGAGGCAGCTTGTGAAGGAGGCCAGCAGTAGATATCTCACAGGGCTGATTGCTCAGACTGTTTTTGATCCCTCATCTCTGGTGAACGTCATTTTAGGAGGGACAGTGGAGGAATTTGTGTCAAAAACAGAAAGGACAGGACTCATCTGAACGAAAGTAGATGTCTTCAAGGCAGACATCTCAGGTTCCCTCTGCGCTCAGCAGAGATCTAGTCAATACAGAGGAGTCAGTGACAGGACTCTCCATATCCTAAAGCAACAACTGGAGTAAGATCAGGTGAGCTTGACTCCAGAATGATCATCTTCATCGCCATGATCAGCTTCACTGCATGGAGAGCTCAGATGGAGACACATTGTCCGTGTGTTGGTGGGAATGGAGCCCAGACTCAGAGCCATCCCCACCTGCTGAAGCAATCTGCCCCTCTTGTCATTGGTTTGATCACAGTTTTCCAATGGAGGATCACAGATATGATGACTTGTCATCCGCATATTATTGGATGATATATTCATGGAGAAGGAGGGAACACCTCTACCCTGAAAATTTTAGATGTGCTGTACCCGTTCACATCAGTTTAGGACCCCACTCTGGACAACTTGGCTCCCTTTCTACTATGTAGACACCTTTTCTCACCTCTTGGCCAGTTAAGTTCTGCTTTGTGGCATCCCCAAAGGTTATTTCGGGTAATAAATGAGAAGGATCATACCTTAACATAAAGTCAGCATATGCAAAAATTCTTGCTGTGTGTCCAAGTCCTCCAAATACAACTCTGCTATCATGTTCCCCTCCTGTTTCAGAGACCCATTTCATTATTTTGGCAGGCCTTTGTTCGGAGCACTCAGTACACTCCAAAACACACTTCTTTTTGAAAAAAGCGCAAAATGTTTTACTGCATTGTTGGTTTTTTTTATTGTTGTTTTTCTTTGGACTGGACATATTATAAGCAATAAAAGGGATAATATACGGCATTCTTTGAATATTAGCAATTAAACAGCATTTCCCATTCTGCTGAGTTGAAGAGCAAATGAGCAATGAAGGCGACAATTAATGTATTTTGTTTCCAAGTGAAGTGGCAGCTTTGCAATTATTGCCTCTCACTCCATGTCTGTGGGTAGGCAGTGATTTTTGTGAGCACAGAAGTGATGAGCTTTTTTTAAAACCATCTTCTTTCTATTTTGTCTCTCTTCTAGGTCCATAGAAGAAAATATGTGTGTGTGTGTATATAATATATATATGCATACATTACACATATACCTCTGTGTATATAATAGGTGTGTATAACATATGTATATTTATTTTGATTGGTGAAGAATTAGCATAAAGGCTGGACAGAATAAACATTTTAATTTACAAGGCGAATATCACTGACATTTTATATGTGTTGCTTTAAGGTCTACAGTGTTAATTTTATATTTCTCTAAGGTAAGGGGCTACACAGAGACGTTCTGCTGCTGTAGGATGTATTTGACAATTTAGTTTCTGTTAAATTGGGTCTGCCCAGAGTCTGCACTTGCAGGATCCATCCCACATTGACAGGATATGGCATTTTGTATCAATTTTGTACCAATCAAGCCCACATGACACCCTCATTTTGCAGCTTTTTTTTTTCTATTTGGGATGAAAAATGTTGGAACAGGGTTATTTTCATTGCTGCTCTGCTAGAAGCACAGGGAATTGTCATGCCGCAGTCAAGGTCCTCCTCAACCTCCACAATCACCTGCTGTTGGAGACATGATGTCAGGCTAGGGACAACTTTGTGCTGAATTGTGCATTCCTTCTATGCTCAAACTATTTTTTCCCATATATAAAAGCCCTTCAGCAGTTTTCCCATTTTTTTCCACTTCTCCATCTTGTTTTCAAGATCTTCTTGGGCTTGTTAGATGGGACAAGAATTTCACATCGTCTTTCTACCATAACCCTGTCTTCCTTTTGGTTGTTGCAGGTGGGCTGTAAAGTAGCGGTCACCTTCTTCCTCTACTTCCTGGCAACCAATTACTACTGGATTCTGGTGGAAGGGCTCTATCTCCACAGCCTCATCTTCATGGCATTTTTCTCAGAGAAGAAGTATCTTTGGGGATTCACGTTATTTGGCTGGGGTAAGTCATGGTTCCTCCTTGTTACTGGCCTTCAGAAAACCTGTTGAGGGTAGTTTTGAAGCAGATGATAGTGCATGCATGTAGATATGGAGAAGCATGTCTATGACACGGTGGCTCTTGCAAGTAAAGGTGAGCGCTCCCGTGAAACCTATAAAGGTTCCTATAAAGGGAAACTTTTGTCCTGTGAAACCTTACATTTAAGGGCAAGAGGGACCTGGTTTCATGGCTCAGCTGAGATCCTGCTGGGAAATCTGTGCTGGTCTAGAGGGGTCGGAAAGTTATGTGAGGCTGCGGGCATCTGTTCCCAGTGCCAGGCCTGAACTCTGGTTTCCTTCCTCTGATCTCCACTGCTTTAAAAAGACCCTGAGGTTTCGTAAGTGTTGGAGCAATGGTAGAACCCTACAATTTGTGGGGAAAACATTTTTTCACCCTTCTTTTAATCCCGGCATCTTTTCTTGGAGTGAGGTGAAAGGGGCGGGATGCGGGTGCAGAGAGGGTGCTCATTAGAGGGAAGTGTTGCAAACACAGCCATTTCAGAAGAGAATGTGCTTTTTGTTCACTCCTGGCATTAGCTTTGGCTTGCAAGGAGTAATGAGGTGCCGGTAGCCTGAGGACAATAAAACAACTACCAACGGTTGTCCAGAGTGTGTGGATCGTAAGGGAGAAGGGGAAATATTGGATGATCCTCAAGGACATAACTAAGAATAACAGGGTGCAAGTCCATACAGGAGTTTACATCAGGAACACTCCTTCAGAGGTGCCTGTGGTTACATCTAGACTGGATGGCCCAGGATCATTTCCCAGCTCCCAGGTCCAAAATGCACCAAGCCACATCCTGGCTGCATTTTAGAGCAAGAACTAATATATACACTGCCCCATCTCTGCTCCAGGACTTGATTTCTTCAGTAAGAAAACCTGAGCTCTTGGGTGTTGAGTGAACCATGGCGTACTCAAAGCTCTGGAGAACAAGGGCCTTAGCTACTCCCAGCTTGGGAAGAGCCTGTGGACATCACTTAGAAATAAATGCAAGCCATATTGCATAAGAAAAGGATTAGGCAAGGTGCCAGGAGATAAATGGCAAGCTACTGTTTTGCTTTGCCATCACATCTAGCAAGTGGTTCACCAGTCCAGGCAGCCCAGCCAGCAGGACAGCTCTCTACAACCTCCCTTTTTCCGCACTGGGCTTATGGAGGAGAAAGATCCCAAAAGCCGAATATCCTCTATCCCTGATGCCCTGTTCATGTGGTGCCTAAGCCACAACTGCTGGTGCTTCCACATGGTGAAGGTGCAACAAGAATCCCAGAACGGGCACCCATCTCCCAGCGCTGGTGAAGCCGAATCCCCACCAGACAGTGGGTTTGAAGGAAATTAATAAATAAATCAAGAGAGATCCTTTGGAGGATCTCTCCAGAAAGCATTTCATTTCTTACCTCAGCTGCTGCAAGACAGAGAGGACTGTAAATGTTATTCCTAAAATAAAATAAAATAAAATAAAATAAAATAAAATAAAAGTCACAAAAACAATTCCCTTCAGACCCTCTTCAAAGCCTTCACACCAGGTAAAATTTGCTTCCCAGAGAACGACATGAAATTGTACAGGGCAGACTTGAGGAAGCAATTCCCTTGAGCAAATTCTGGGAGACAGAGAAGCAGCTGAAAAGCGATGCCCAAGGTTTAACGGGAAAAAATCAGCTTGGTGCTGCTCATGCTGCCGCCAGAGAAAAACAGTCTAACGGGCAGGGGTTCCTCTCATTAATTCTTCCAACCATTGCCAGAGTGTAATCATTTTATCGGGGCAACCACAGAGCTCAAGTCACACCTGTCACAACAGCAATCATCAATGCGCTTCCAAAAGTCTGAGGCTGCCTTCATTTAAATTCCTTTGGAATGAGAACATACGATCCCTCCGGTTGCATTTGTTTTTGCTTTGTTTTGATTAGCATGATAATGTACACACGCGCACCCGCACGGACGTATTGCTTTGATAGCTTTTGGGAACGGGGAAGGGTGATCCAATCCAAGACCCACTGGAGGCGGTGGAAAAACTCCAGTTCCCTGCAGTGGGCACTGGATCCTGCCCATACCACAGCAAGGAACAACATGGAGTCGGTGATAAATAATTACGACATTCCTCATTGGTACAGAAAAAAAAGACATGTTTGCCCCAAAAGCTGGGACGTCTTCCTTGTGTAACAATAAATAACTGAGGATTTATCCTGCCTGGAAATTTCCAAGGCAAGGAAAAGCAAAAATCACTCTATAAAAACTTATTTCCAGAATGCTGAGAAAAACAGAGCACAGAGGTACACTTTGATATTGGACCCAAAGATTTTGGTCAGTCCTTTTTAGGCCATATCCTCACTGACATGACCAAGCACAGCTCCTTGAAGGTCCATGGCACTCAGGTAGTCACAAGGGATTCACTGGTGACAGAAAGAACATTTTTTATTGCCAAGAGCTATCAAAAAGGTGAAAAAATATATTATGGGCAACAACAAATTCTGTAGCAAACTTCAAGTTCCCTACAGCTGTTTTATGATGGAAGCCTAAGAAACATGACCAGTAGCTAGAAAACCCAAGCTGATTCCAGTGGCATTTTTCCTTCACATTGCATTAATTTACCCCTTCAATGGGCAACTCAGTTAGATGGAAATTAGTGTAGCAGGGAGCCCCGAGATTGATGTGTCTAATCTTCTCCTAGCAGTAGCTTTACAACATCCTCTCTTACACATAGCTTCAACACATGCATGAAAACCCCTTTTCCAAGTGCTGGAGACACATGCACAGTGCACTAGCTATGTGCACTTCTTTGCTGTTTCTTATCATTGCACGTGGAAGGCAAGCGGGAAGTTGGGGTGGTCAAAAAGGCATTGCCTTAGCTTGAGAGGTTTGCACCTTTCCCAGCTGCTGTGGAGACTCCCGACTTTATAGCACCTGCATTGTACACACTGTGTGTGTTAGCTGGAAATGCACAGCGCATACAATGTGGATTCTGTAGAAGTCACTGACGGCATCGCCGCCCGGCGCCGATCTGCCCTTGTCACACTGGCCACGCACACAGGGTGCACCCATCCTTCCACACACATCTGCATCCCTGTACCCAGGAGATCGGGAGCTCTTTGGAGACTTGCATGCCCTAGAGCATTGGCCAAATGTGTCTCACCATGGGTGACCTTCCTGCTTGCGGAGCTACATCCTCCTGGGTATCTGCTTCTTTGCTTCATGAGTCTCTTGAAATTGCTGACCTTGAGGATCTCGGTGGTGATGTCCTGGCTCTCCCTTTAGTAGATTCAGCACAAGGGGCTGCCTATCCCAGAGCATCAAATTTTTTGGGGTGGGAACACTGAAATTTATTCCCCCAGACAAAATTTAAAGGGATGTTGGATGCAAAGTTAAGCCTAGATATTCTTCAAGTTTTAAGACTAACTTGCCAGAATGAGAAGGAAGGAGTCAATGCTGGAAATTACCTGACAGCCCAAACTGTGCACATTATATTGGTGTAGAGTTAGTCTAAAACTTGACCGTGTTGGACATGCAGAAAGACAAACGTAGCAATAAAACTGGTGCCAAGAGAAGTCCCTTTTCCAAAGTACAGAACGAGCTAGGGATGATCAAGTACGTGTCAAACACGTTCAAAAATCTCTGAGGCTGCCTGTTTTCCAAAATTAGAGTCCCACAAGAGCGAGTGAATATCGAACCTCTGAATAAGGCCAGTTTCTCAGCTGGTATAAACTGGAATATCACCAGCGATACCAGCAAAGTCATAGGAGCTTAAACCTTTGCTGATGCAGACAGTAGTTCAACCCCCGCATGCATTTTTCATAGATGGGTGATTAACACTGAGGAGGAAGCAGACAGCGAATGTTGCAACAGAAATCATCACATCCCCCCTCATCACTCCAACACGCTCACACATTTCCAGTGCAATAGGTTAAGTATTTTCTCTCTAAGGCCAGCTATCGCATGGGATTGTACAGCAGGACACATTCCTTATAAATGTGTCTTTGTAGGCAGCGGTGCTCCGCTGGCCTTGAGAGAGGCTCTGTGTTTAATTATTTATGCTTTCTTATATTACCGTGGCATTTAAAGGTTCCAACCAAGATAACGGCCCTGTTGTCCACGTGTGTATGAGACAGGCGTCCCCTCTCCACACCCCAGCGCAGGAAAGCGCCCGTGGTCAGGAAAGGCTTTAAGCACTCTAATGAGACTTAAGTGCATGCTGAAAGTTAAGCGTGTGCTTTTGCATGCCGAGCTCCAACGAGCTTAGGCTGTGAACAGCATATTTACAGTCATCGGTGATAAATGTCGCCTTTATTTATTTTTTAATTTTAATTTTTTTTTTACCTGAAAGGCACTATTCTTCTCGAATTTGTGGAAGCTACTGTGGATTTGATCCTACCTTTTAAGGGAAGCCAGTAGGGGACTCAGTTGTACAAATAAAGCAGAACTGGACCCTAAAAAAATAAATAAAAGATTCCATTTGGATATTGGCGACTCTGTTACTTTCTGCAGGGAAAAGATGATGCCCAATGTAGCTGTGCTGAAATGAAGATGGTTCATTCAGGAGCAAATCTTGGGCTAAAATATTTTGCAAGTATTACCCTGAATTCCACCAGTAATCTTTTCTGCAGTGAGTCCTTCTTACCTTAATCCATTCTGTCTGAGATCAGAATCAAGTCAAGAAAATCTTGAGGAGAATTATAATCTGTGAAAGGCTCCTTGACCATTTATTCCAAAATATTTGGCCGTCAACCTCACCCTTCAAAACTTTCTCCTTCATATCATTGCTACCACTTATTTCCTTAGTCAAAACATCACTCAGGCTCTACTGTGGTGCCCCCATGAAGGACATTTGCTGAATCCATGGTGCACAGTGTGGTGCAGTTCTTATAGTAGTTCAGTTAATCCATAGGGTGTTTGCCCTACATGCTGCATCTTTTCCTGTAAATTGAATGAGTCAGGATTTGCTCTGAAGTCTTCAAGCCAGCTGGCATGGCACAGCTCACAACTCTACAGCCGAACTATTTCTCCAACCTCTCTCTTCTCCCAAGAAAAGGGAGGGAGAATGAATGTTGTTCCGGGATGTCTGGGGACATATGGCTGGTCCTAAGTGTGTTAGGACCTGGCTGGCAACCTAAACTGCATGTGATTATCAGAAGTTGCCAAGGCCATGCCATAACCCTGTTCCCTTGCTGATAGAGCTGCCACCAAACGCTCTGGATTCTGCTCACACCTTCCCAGTGTACTCAAGTCTATGCCCTGGGAGATATTGGTCCAAACCTGACTCCAGATCCATCTTTCCTTGGAGTCATTGGAAGGGAAAAAATGTCTTGGGAATGACATGCTGCATGAAACCCATCTCTGGATCAAGCTGGACCTGTTGGCTGGAGGAGGGATTATTGGCCCAAGTCCACATTCTCCAGGCTATGTCTCTATTCATACATAAAGCAGCCCCAGAGCAAGGGCACAGGAACTTGCTGGTTTATTCTATCAAGTCCACCAGGTACTTCAGGTTCAGGCCAGCTGGACCTAAGCATGATTCATAAGGTAGCATGAGCCCTACCTGCTCCTGGTAGACAGGTAGGGAATACAGACTGCTCTCTTTTGAAAGCTGGGAAGAGGATGGATATATCCATGCCATTTGGCCTCAGAATACAGTTCCTGCCACAGCCTAGTTTACTATGTTTGGATTACTTAAAAGATGCAAGACCAAAATCCAAATTATACTTGAATATTTAAAAACTCTGTCTTTCACCCTTGCACTTGTCCTCTCCACTTGTGTTTGTGCAGAAGGGAGCCTTCCGCCCCCCAGCTTACTCACTCAATTTGATTTCTATTTCTTTGCAGGACTCCCTGCTGTATTTGTTACAGCGTGGGCCAGCGTGAGAGCCATTCTAGCCGACACAGAGTAAGTCTCAGTGAATTTTTTTTCTTTTCACATGCGATGCCTTTGGGGTGCTTCTAGCACTGGTGACTTTGCGGATGAACAGAAAGGAAAAGAGAAACAAGGCAAGGCCAGAAACCACTTCTAGTATGAAGTTTGCAAACCTATTGGGTGTGTGGCAGAGAGGGATAGGGTGAATGCAACTTGCTTGGTTTTCCTTCCATTTTACAGAATTTGGCATAGGTGAGTGCTCACAGCTGATACACCAGTATCCCTTGGAGATCCAAGGGGGTGGTTAGAGTAAAATTCCAGCAGTTTAATGCCGACAGTATAGGCATCATGTCACTGGGAGGGACAGGATGGAGGCCCATAAAATCCTGAATAACCTGTACATCATGGATAGAGATGTTGGCTTGTTCACAGACTCTTCCAGTAGTTGAACTAGAAAGCATGACATGAAGTTGGGAGACAGTAGATTCATCATAGTGCAGAGAAAGTGATTTGTCACTGGTCAGGTAGAGTAGCAATCTGAGTTGCAAATGCCTGGCCGTAGGATGTTGTGGACTTCAACATGCGCTTAGGTTTAAAAAGCTTAGGTTTAAAAAGCGTTTGCACTAAATCTTTGAAGATAAATTCCTCCAGATGTATTGAATACTAAGACAGTATTCTGGCTCAGAAAGTTCTCCTGAACTGCAGACAGTTGGAAGGATAATCAGAAAAAATATTGCGGCCTGCTTGCCTTTTTCTCTCTAGACTTCACTTTTTGGCTACTGTATGAAACAAGACACTGTACTAGCTGATTCTTTGGTTTGGCCCAGCACAGCCACCCTGATGGCCTCATGTTCTCATGTTCTGGTGAATGAAACATCCATAGCACCTAATCTTCACACTCCAATACAATCATTCAGTAAAGCAAGCCCAAAATTGACTTCACAACAGCATTAATCTGCTAATGGTCTCCCCAGCAAGAGCATGGGGTTCCCCAGGCAAGATTTCAAATGGCTTTGCCTAGGAAGAAGACTGTTCTCCAAGTGAATTTTCAATTCTGGCTTGGAAGAAACTAGTAGCACAACCCTTTTACTTTAGTATGACGCATCTGCGTTGGCAAAGGTTCACATTTGCAGAGCCCTTAAGTCAGCATCGGTGGTTTTTCTGCCTCTATCTCTCACCTTCCTTGAATAACTGCCTGGGCAGAATTTGGCCCATAATATAAGAACTGCAGCTGCCATGTGGAGGCTGGTTGGCTCAGATAAAGAAAGGCCTGTGACACTCTTCTCTCCCTGTGGTTGGAGAGAATTCAGAGTAATTAACACTGAGTGACCTTATTCAATAGCTGTTGGAAAAGCCTGCAAGGAAGCAATGTTCAGCCCACACTCAGCAGCCAGATGGCCAGAGACAAGCATCCATGCCCACCAACAGTTTGTCCTTCCCCATGCTTGCTGCTGTTGGGAGCAGAGGATATGGGCTGAAGATGCAGAGGTGGTAAAGACTTCTTTGGGGCACGGATGGGGCTCACCATGAGAGCAGAGTTGAAAGAATCACAGTAATTGAATGTAAAAACACTCAACCATGCCCTGCAGTTGGTCAGGGTTGGTCCTCATGCAAATCTCTGCTGGCTTGTTTCAAGGGATAATATAAGGCCAGTTCAGCAAATCCCAGCATGGTTTCTCTGGTTTTCCCCCAAATTTGACTACTTTCACTATATTTTTTCTGATATGGTGCCCATAGACAGATGTTATTGCATCTTTATAGGACATCTCACTGTTTGTCAATGTACCCAATGTACCTCTCCAGCCCAATTGTGAGCATAAGCTGTGTGCTGCAAACCCCTTTAAGTCAACTCAGAATAATTTATGCAAACAGAGAAACACCCCTTCTACCCCCATAGCTGCTGAGCAATAATTCAACAGCCAAAGTATTCTGCTGGGCCATAAGCTCAAGGTAAACATGTCTACATAAGAGGATGATTGTTATTGCAGAAAGGGAAGATCCTTGAAATCTGGAGAACATAGTTCTAAATGTACTTAACATGGCTTTCAGTTGGGGATGGTATGACAACGGAAAGAGGGCGACTTTGTGCCTGTGCTGGTTGAAGGGAGAATTAGAGCTAGGTCCTTCCAACACACCAGACCTTGGAAGAACCCATCTTCCCGGGTTGGGTTTAGCAAACAGGACACTGAGACTGTTTCCCTGTGCAACTGATGACTTCCTGATGGGATGTCAATCTCTTCTCAGGTGTTGGGACTTGAGTGCTGGCAATTTAAAATGGATTGTTCAGGTGCCCATCCTGGCAGCTATCGTGGTGAGTACTGGTTCATAACAATGGGTGTGTAAAATGTGCAAACACAATATGTTAAAAGGAGACATTTTAGTTTGGAATTAGAATGAGGGCTTCATTAAAAAAAAAAATCTTTTTTCCCTAGGGATGCTTCAGTGTCATCGGATCATTTCAGACTCTCTTTCCTGATCCAGTAAAAGCTTGATATATCTCAAAGATAGCTTTTCAAAGGAGGTAAAAGATAGACCATCCCAGCCACGATCCATGGATCCGCTGGCAGGCACAATCTCGAGCACTCACAGAAAACCAATTCAGTCCACATATGAGAGTGAGAGGGGTCAAAAACGATGGAAATGACATTATTCAGATGCAAGAATGACCTCTCGCAAGCTAGGGAGGTCATTATACACACGTCCAAGGGAAATTCAGCAGATGGTTACACACCTGGTTGAGGAGGGTGCCAATTCGCTAGGGAACCTGTTCTTAAGAGATTTTGTTAATTATCCTGTTTCTGCCCTCTGTCTTTTCCCTATGATTTCCCTTTACTCCATCTTCTGACGGGTACATGATTGCATGTGAAAGAGCTTTTCACCTGCTTGTCTTAGTCCATTTGCACATCCACCCATGAGCAGCTGAGTGGAGTCAATATGAATCTTTCTGTAGCCATTAGAGTCACATAGAGTCACATTGCATCAGGTCACATAAACCTTGGTCTGACCTGCAAACCAGGAGGCCTTGGAAGATGATCACTGTGGGTGAGAAGAAAACCAGACCATTTGCCTACAAACATCAGGAGAAGTTCTGAGGGGAATGTGCTCTTATATACAATTAGGCAAGCTGCTTTGGACTTTGAGGGTTCTTTTTCTCTTCATCAAATTTTAATTTTGATGGAATTTCTCCACCTGGCTCTAGCAATTACGTATGCACCTTGGAAGAAACAAATCACCAAGCCCACATTGTGGTAATTGGAAAAGGAGTAGTAGGATAGAAGAGAAAGTTCCTATAGTTCAAATAGATGAATGCCAGCAACCTCATTGCGTTTAATTTAAAGCCCAATTAGCAGAAGAGAAAGAGCTCAATTGAGGCTTGTCCTTGTAAAAATAATGTTTCTCCATGAGGCTCTGTTGTGCTTGTACCCTGGCTATTTGCAAATGCAGCTATTTATCATGCAAAAATATTCTGTGGGTTTTTTGTTTAATTTCTGTGGGTTCATATTGTTCACTTGGCTGCCTTTTCAGTTCCCATACTGGCTGGTCATATGTTGCTGGATGAAATTATGCATTTTCTGGATGAGTTTGCAAAGAAATTGAAATCTGAGGGGTTTAAAATCCCTTCACTCTACTGCTAACTTTGATGTCATTTGGTTGTCTGGATTTTTTTTTTTTTAAGTACTCGTTTTAGTAAAAGTCAGGGGAGTTTCTCCCCTGACTTTGGTAAGGTTGGACACCTTCAATTGAGCAGACGAATGTGGAACAAGATCCCATTGTTAAGGCTTTGAAGCTAGAAAGGCTCCTCTGAGAAACAAAGCACGCATTTTCTCTCAGATTGGTTTCCAACCAAAATGAATTATGTGCCCCCAGGCTGTGGGTTTCCTTGCCTGTCCATCTATCCATCCCTCCCTCTAACTGTTGTGTCAGTCAGTAAATTCCAACCAAATGTAACCAAAGGGGTTAGGGTTGCATAGATGTTAAATTCCCACAAACCTCATGAAAACAGCCAAAGAGATACAAGAGACGAGTTCTACCAAAGCCCCTTTGAGGAAAAGGGTGTAGTGCCAACTCACCCTGTGTTTTAAACAGGGGGAAGCTGTTCCCAGAGAACTTGCACCTTGTTAAAAGAGAAAGAATCCAACCGCAGAAGACAAAGCCATAGCAAATGAGGCCACGTTCATTCAGTTGCTCAGGGAACTGCTTGTTTTACCAGTGAGGATAATTAACCATTGGAACAACTTACCAATGGTTGTGGTAGGATCTCTGTCATGGAAATACTGAAATCCCAGTCTCCAGGAGCTCAAATGAAAATGAATACAAGGAGGTCTTATGGGGAGTGTTTTGCTGGAGCTGAAACTAGAAGTCCACAATGGTTCCTTCTGGCATAAAACTGCGAGTCTGTGCAGCAAGATAATTTGTTTTCTCCAAAAACCGTATTGGCAACTGTGAAGTCAAATGACAGCCACAGGTCTCCAGAGAAGCCATAGGCATCAGCATTAGCCCAGACCCAGAAATTCTCTTTTGCATGAGCTGCTGCTGCGAATGCTGTAAGAATAAAATTCAGGCATTGCCAGCTCACAGCAACATCAAGTTGCTCTTGATGCTACCCTCTAGTACCCTAGCCAAGGGTAATTTGCTGCTTATGAGCAGCTGGGATCATTTTATGGGGTGTCTCAATAAATTTCCCTGTAACTGGTTCCACAGGCTTTGCTTACAACATGACAAACTCTACTGCAGGACAGGACAGGATGAGGACTATGGGAGAATAGCAAAGAAAAGAAATGAAGAAGAAAAAGAAAGAAATCCTTCTTTATCTCCTTTGCAGAAGAGCAAACTAAAGAGTGAATCAGGTTGAACCTGGCCTGATCTAGGGAAACACTGAGTCTTTCCCAAGAGTTCATCACTCACAGCAGAAACTCTCCCAGAAGGAGGTAGACACATAGCAGGAATAGAAGGTGACCACATGCTACATTCCCTTGACTCATCTTGACAAGGGGAAAGAACTGACTGGATGACTTTCGCATTGGATGGGATATTTTTTAAGTTATCTTATTTTTTTTCTTCCAGGTAAATTTTATTCTTTTTATCAATATTATCAGAGTCCTAGCAACCAAGCTACGGGAGACAAATGCAGGGAGGTGTGATTCAAGACAACAGTACAGGTGAGCCACATTCCCTCCCCACTTCTCTGGGAGATGTCAAAAATACCTGTTTCTACCTACTGATTGCACAGCAAAGCCAGGGTGACCCATTCAGATGAAATGACTCTAGACATTTAAAATGAGGCTGACCTTGTCTTCTCAGGTGCTCTCTGTCCATTTATCATCCACGAGCTGTACTCAGACAGCAGCTAGACCCTTTCTCGAGCTGTTTAAACTGCTGTGTCAAAATGTTCATTCCACCCAGAGACTTTTCATCATTGCCAGATTTGAACCAGCAATGCAAAAATTTAAAAGCCATGCTTATACTGCTGAAGCACTAAACCTTTACAAATTTACTTATTTTCCTCTGTAAAACTTGGTGTATTTTTGTAAAACTTGGTGTATTTGTTAAATACGCCATTCATCTAGTGTTTCAGTGTATTTGATGAAATGAAAAAAAAATCTCTGACTCTTCACAGGAAATCTGGAATTTCCTCATTTGTTTTATTTTACTTCATTCTGCCAGCTCTTCTCCCTTGATAATTTAGGATATTTGTAGCATAATCAAAACTGGAGAGAAAAAGTAGATTGCTGAGACACCTTGGCTTCATGAGAGTTCCTCCAGCTTCTCAGTCTTTCAAACTGGACTGATCAACATCAAGTCTGAGATGAAGGAGGGCAGAAGGAGCTTGTCTGCCAACCATGAGCTCACTGCTACCATCTCCCTCTCTTTTTTTTGAGAAGCATTTTTTTTTTAACTACCATGTCAGGACTCTGATTTGTCTATTTATTTATTTCTCCCTGGCTCAACTTTGTTATTAATTATGGTTTGGATGGGCCCTGCTCCTTTTAATGTTTTTGGTTCCCTTGGTAGTTGCCAATTGACAGACAGAGGAGGCACCAGGTCTTTCTGCTGGTGATGTCCACCCTTCCCAATGATTGCCTGAACTCAGTGACTTGTTGTAACTCTTGGCCAGGGGTTTAATCCTTCAATTAGCTCATTTCCAGGCAAGGCAGGTTCCCTCAGGGACAAAGTCAGCCAAGTGCTGGGGGCCACATTGTACATGCCCTTCCTGTCCTGCCGTAGTCTGATCCTGAGATGGAGTAGGTCCTTCAAAAAGGGGCTTTCCAGGGAATATTGAAACTCCAGATGCCCCTAAGACCAGTGACCTACCACCACTCTAACCACGGAGAGGGTTAGACTATCTGTACTGGAGGATGGACCACTTCGGTCCACATGCTGCAAGTTCAACAGCTTGAAGCTGTGGACGGCCACACCACCAGTGCAAATGTGAGGTACTCAGAACAAAATTATGTGTCACAAACACCCAAGGTGTAGGTGGACCCACCAGACTCAGAAGTTCATCCCATCCCCTAACTCTCTCTCCTTGTTCTTACAGGAAGCTGCTGAAATCTACCCTCGTCCTTATGCCTCTGTTTGGCGTTCACTATATTGTTTTCATGGCTATGCCATACACAGATGTGTCAGGGATTCTTTGGCAAGTTCAAATGCACTATGAAATGCTGTTCAACTCTTTCCAGGTACTGTTAAATTAACTATAACTGTTAATTTAAGGAGAGCAAACTATAAGAATTTAGATGAAGAAAAGAGTGACATTAGAGTGCAAGGTGTTCTCTTTGGAAGCAGATTTTTTTTTCTCAGTATGTCAGATTTCATTCACGAGATGATTTGACTCTATTCTAGCATTGAACATGATTTACATTTACAAAGCACAAGATAAAAAAAGGGGCAATGTGTCCAACAAAATTGTTCCTGTTGAAAGGTAACTTACCCCATAAATTCCCTTCGGGTTAAGGTTAAAGCTAGGTCTGGTAGAGCTCCACAGAGACACGCTGTTTTATATCACCTTGCTGCCTGCTTGTCGTAAGCTCTGTTTCAAACCTGTGGATAGATCTCTCAGTTCTGGGTTTGGGCATAATGCTGATTCAGTTCCAAGCCTGGTCCTATAGAAGACACTGCAGGAAGAATTAGCATCTCACTACAAGCTGGGCATTGTAGTTACTGCACCCCCTTCCCTGAGAGATTAACTTTTGGCTCACTATCTATCACTGTGGATGCTTGGCATGGATGACAAAAGGCAGACAGTAGGATTGGCCTGATGAAAGTTTAGAGAAACTGTTGGGTACCAATGGAATAAAGTAATGGGTTACCTCACCAAAATCATGTAAAATATTGCCCAGCAGGAAGATGTGTATGATTTACTCGTGCTTGGATTCTCTTACTGGTTCTGCCATGTGTGCAGGTACTGTAGTGGCAACCAGAGCTAGAAGAGTCCCATCAGGGCCATTTTCCTGCCTACAGTCCTACAGCAGAATCACCTCCATGTAAACCATTTGAGATATTCATTGATTTTATCCATAAACTCGCCACCTTCCCATTTACCATCCCAGAGCCTTTGCAAAAGCTCAGCGGGAGGGTGGAGGGCAAGCAGATATTTTAATGAAGTTATTATATCATCTATCTACTTTGTAGATAGCCTGCAGGCAAATGCAGCTTTTGCACTACAGAGCACTGAGAGATTTCTTACTCATATAATATTTGTCATATTATAAACGCTGATAACTTCACAGGAGCACAGTGATGCTGGGCAGCAGCATCAGGAAAGAGATACTCAGATGCAATAAGATTGACATTAATGAATTGTTTCTTCTTCCTTCTAGGGATTTTTTGTTGCCATCATATACTGTTTTTGCAATGGAGAGGTGAGTCTTTCTTTCCCTTCTTTGCTAGACTCATTCTAAATTTGGGGGGCTAGGTGGACACATAACAGTGTAACTCCACTTATTACAGAGAAGCAGCCCTGTCTTTCACTCCCTGAATGATCTGTCAGTTCATGTAGTAAGTCTGCAAGTTCTTTTTTGGTTATAGGAGACATCCAAGACAATCTGCCACAATTAAAGGAGCTACTGGAAGTAGCTACTGGAAAAAGGATGGAAAAAAAATGCTATCTTCTATTTTTCCTAGCTCAAGTGCTGCTAAGTGCTGCTAAATTTCTGATCTGTGGCAAGAAGAAAAGTGTAAGAATAGAGCAACTGCCTATTCAAACAAACTCTTTTGTTTGTTTAAGCTTTTTTGACTTTTTACTTTAAAGAGTGACATACTTTAGGTTTCACACAACTCCCAAGCTACCTGTTTACTTCATTTGTCTCAGTGTAGCAAA